GGGGTAATGACCCTCTGCCCACGCTCAAACTTGCCCATTCAAATTCAGCGTTCCCGCGCTCTCGGGTATCACCTACAGGCTAGTGAAAGTTTTTACAGGTAAATTATTATCTCGGGAATCACGGAAAGATATTCACCCTTCAAGTTTTCGATTTCAGCTTTCATACCCTGATGCGTGAAATTTTTAACTGTTTTCCAACGTTTGAACTATTTTTGCATAAAGTACAAAGCAGTGAAAATCATTAATAGGCAATCGTTCGATGGGCTGAATTACACAAAACGAATGATCGCACCGGCTAGTCTGGTGCGCGTTGCTATTTATTTTTTTCTCAGGCGAGGCGTATTGTTTTTGGTGAGGTGAATTGTGTGGGGTGGGCGGCGTAGTGCGCCATCGGCTGATCGCTCTCATCGGTGTTCGGAATGCGAAGCAGTTTGCTTGCTTGGAATTAGTTCGAGCGCGCTGGCAAGGCATTCCTGCGTGCAGGCATTGCTTGATTCGATTGTGCCACGTCGGCGCCCTGTCACGTAGCGGTGCGTGCGTTTCTGTTGTCTGTTGAGCAAATAGCATTTCGCAGGCTGCGCTCTCAGCGTGCCTTCAATCGAGTCTCCGTGAAGTGTTGTTTTGCAGGTTACAGTGAACTGCCAGAATCCAGCAGTTTTTGAGTTGTTGCTCAATTATATGTACAGTGGCAGTGTTGTGATCGATCGCAGTAGCGTGACGGATTTGCTCAAACTCGCCAATAATTTTTTGGTTAGCCGTCTTTTGGAGCTGCATCGGCGGCCCCTCTCATTCACAGAGTGAAATAACTGATGAACAGATAGTCAGTCAGTCTAGAGGCGCACCCATTGCAAACGTTTTGCAGTATATGTTCGGTGGATTGAAGTAACTTGTTGCTATCAAATTGCCCTCTTTTGCCTAGTAAACTTTTCAGAATTTTTATTGGAAAATGAATGAGCCATAACTCGTAGTTTAGTCCTCCAGTTATGCAGCTGCGCCCTGTGCCTAGTGCTCAGTGTGCTGCTGGCATTCCAGCAGGGCTTGCCAGCTCTGCTCACAGAGCCACTTGGCTTAATCGTTTTCTTTTTTTTTATGTATTTTCGGCATTGCCACTTTGCCTGGAATGTTATGCAAGAGATCGTGAAAGGATCGTAGCTGCCCCGGCTTCATTATTTCCCAGGGCTTTCATATTTTCGCGAACTGTAAATAGCAACGAACGCATTGTTTTGGGGCACATTATAATTGCACAGTTGCTGAGACGTGATTGATTCGCGCTGATTCAGGTGACACGAGTGAAGAATTATTGCGCGGAGTATTTGGGCCGTTACATGGATTCGGCGAACTGTCTCTCGGTAAAAGAGCTTGCATCGAAATATAATTTACCGGCGCTGTGCAAAAGCGCATCTGAATTTTTCGACGACAACATCAATAGGTGTTTGTTGGAAAGTACGGATATTGTTGAATTTTCATTAGCTCAGCTGAATGCGTTATTATCCGAGCCAAGACATGCTAATCCGATCTCTCCTGATGTACACCTAAAGTGAGTCATCCTCCGAAAATCGCTGCAAAATACATTTTTGTCAGTGCTTTCTGTTCGCTCTCGTCAAAAAAACGGATCACGATAACATGCCTAGCTGTGTGAGAAGCGTTCGACAAAGTGTGCGATTCAGCCCAGTTTTGTTGTCCACTGCTACTTATTTCTTGCGTTTTTCATTTTATCCGGGTGTGAAACTTTATTTTTCACTCTTCTTCGGTTTCATTATTATTTTTTGTTGAGCGCAGCCGTTTATCTTTTTTTTTTTCGGACAGTCTGAAACCACTAGCAGAAATCTGTGCCCCTTTTGTAAAATGCTACCATTAACTAAGTGCCTGTGAAGAATTTTTACAGCCATCTCGCTAGATATTATTTTTTGTCAGTTTTGGCCAACTATTTTTTTTATTTTTCGCGTTGAGAGCAGGCTTTGCGCCTCTCAATTTGATAGAAAATGAGCGCCATGCATTTACTTGGATTTATGACTTTCTGAATTAAGGTTAATTGTGCGCTGGATTGCTCACAGCCCAACACAGCGTGACTCACTGTTCCGAGAAATGTTGACCGCATGCCCGTTTGCTTCGCTACAGTCCGCAACCCTGGAGAACCTGCTGGATTACTCTCCTTTTCTGATCAGCTGTCAATCAGCGCGATATACACTGATGCAAATGATGTAAGTTTTGTGCATAATATTTTCCATCACTACACTACAACAGCGTCCATCAGCAGAGGCAGGGCTCGATCTTTACTCACTTATCGCCTGGTCGCTTAGGTTTCAGATTTGCAGGGGATGCCTCACTGGTTCTTCAACATATGGATGAGAGGGAAGGCTGTACAAGCAAGCAGATGCAAGCCCTGATCAG